TTTATAAAATACTTATTAAAAAGTTGAATTGAATTTCTAAATACTTCAATTTATCATTTACATTTATCATTTACAAATAAACTATAGAAATCAATGTTTTATTATAAATTCATGTTTTTCTCGTTCTCTTAAATAATTCTCTACTTAAAATTTTTCATAAGGACACTGGTATGTATAATGCATTAACAATTTTAAAACATTTGTAGCTAATATTATTTAACACTATCAAAATGTTGGTTGTCATGATTTAAAGGTTACAGTAGTTCTATGACAAAAAATATAAAAATAATCAACTAGAGTATCCAATAATAATCCACTCTAGTTGATTATTTTTATTCGACGATATTAGTAAGTAAAAAAGTAGGAAAAAGAAAATTTTCATCCGCGATTTTGCTAAGATTCTGACTCGATTTTGAAATTTTAAAAATCGTTAGAAATCGAAAGACATTATTTGGATATTGTGTCACCGAGTCACCGTGTTTCATAAAATAGCATTTAAATTTTTGAAGTTGGTTCAAATTTCAGTTCATGGGCACATATACATACTTTTTTTTAATTTTCAAGAAAGGATAAAATTAACAAGTCTAATTTTCCGGCCAAAACATCAACTACTCGTTCGGGGAATAAAAAAATTGTACAAAAAATTCTAAAATATGAGCATCATTCGTTAGAATTCGCTAGTAACATTTACATAAATATTAATTTTTTTTACAAAGTATTAACGTGTACTTATGTACGGTTATATTTTGGCAACACTGATTTATATTATATATATATATATATATATATATATATATATATATATATGAATTATAATACAAGAACCATGCGCAATTTTTCCAAACCACGCCTTGTCCAGGAAAATTTCCATTCTCATTGGCAGCAGCCATCATGATCATTTTTCTATTTTCCACGCAGTTATAATTTTGTCTTTAGAACATAAGGACATACTTCAGCCAAATTGTTATATAAAAAAACGACATTAAAATTTTCAAATTTATAACCAAGTGCTACAAAATTATTAAAATAGATCCATATCGAATAAATAAAAAAAATATTGCACTTGAAAGCATTTTAAAAATAAAAACAAATCGAAAGTCTATAAATTATATAATTCAAAACGGGGGTTGAAAATTATAATATTTTTTGGTGAACAATGTGTAAACGAAGAAAAAAATAATACTAAAATTTATTAATAGATATTTTTTATATAATTAAAATAAGTATCTGAGAAAGTCAATTTGAATAGTTAGTACAAAAAATAAAGTGATATTGCAAACAAGTGATATACTGATATATTTTTATAAACTATATATTTTTAATAATAACATATCAAACATATATAATATTTCAAAAACAATCTACAAAGAGAATTTGGAGTTAAACATATCAACAAATTGTGACATGGACTTAATCATCAATTCGAAAGTAAAAAGTGAACATTTTAAATAATTACAAACCGGAAAAAATTATAAACCGTTATCATTTGTATTGAATAAATAATCTAATTTTAATTAAACACTTAGATTAAAATTTTACACCTGTGAATCAGAAAAATTATCAGTTAAGAGAAAAAATAATTTATTAAAATTTCTCTAAAATTAAATGCAAAAAAATACTTTTCACTCGATTAAAGTACCTCTAATAGACAAACTTAATTTTTTCAATGATAAAATGAAGAGAATTCAAATACAATAATACTAGATTTGATCGAAAATAAAATTTTGAATTAATATTCAAGTCTATAATATTTAATACAAAGTTCAAATAAATATCAAGAAGAAAATTGGATGTGCAAGTTAACAAAGAATGAAAATTTCTTCAAAACTATATGTGATAAAATAAAATTATTTCAATCATAGTAAGATTGAAACCAATAATAATACAAAGTGCAAATAAATTTTTGGAACAAAATTGCATACTGGTTTCAGCAAATTAGTAAATTAAAATTTGTTATTGACTGCAATTTTGAAACAATATATTTTTGAAAATATTCAATAAGTGCTACAACAACAAATGAACGTGCTACAACAATGAATGAATAATTAAAACATTAAAAAATTATTAATTTTAAGAAATTTGCAATTCGATATTGCATATAAAAACGATATATTTATATCTGAAATTTATTTATTTAGTAATATAAATTAATTAAATTTATTTAAATAACAACAACATTCAGTTCAAAAAATTCAGTGCTGTAAACTTTCGTTTAAGCTGATGTTTCAATCATTAAAACTTGAATTATTTCGAGCGATATAAGTATAAATACCGAAAAATCTCATACTCAATCTTGAGTATAATTAACTAATTGATCTAACTAATCTTTCACAATTCATTTATTATTTTTATAATAAATTGTGTGTAAATTTCGTCTGAAACGATGGCTGACAACATGACCGCTACCACCGTGCCCCCGCCGGTTGCGCCCGCAGCACCCGCAGTAGACGCGGGCGGAATGCTGAACCTACTTTGTGCCTTATCAAATGTCACATATTGCGAAGAAGGGAGCAACATTTTTGAACCGGAAAATACTTTCAGTAACGAAACGGGCTGTGCAGAAATCGAAGATGACTTATGTCTAATAGACAGACAAGGTGAGTTGACCCTACAGAAAATTTTCTATACCTGCCGAATTTTGTATACCTATTCCTACCACGCACGGTCAAATTGACCGTAGACTTGGGGGCATGATCGTGGCTTATTAAGACAAATTGCTGCAATATACCGTGACGAAAATTCAAATGTGCCGAAAAAGACAAATTGCGGAAACTTCCCGTACCAGAATTAAATACTCGAGGAAAAAAATCAGTAACAATAAATGTTGATCAATAATTAATAACAATTGTTTTAAATATTTTCAAAGAAATAATTATAAATACTATATATTTTATCGCTCATTTTATATAGCGACGATCTTATCGCATCAAACACTTGAGAATGTTTACATTAACATACCAAATGAATCTATCTGAGGATATTAGAATAACGCATATGAAATATGTTAGTCATCTATTTTGGGCCATATAATAGTTCATCAGTCATTGTGCAAGTTTCCAAAATTTCCATTTGCTGTTGTCTACGAAGCATTCTGGCCTCCCGAGTGTTCTCGTTGGCGCGCTGATCTGCCACTTTCACACGTGCAGCATCCAATTTTTCAGCATAATAATGGGAATTACCCACAATTAGGTTCTAGGGTATCCATAATCAATAGTAATGATTATTATGTATAGGTTTCAGCAATTTGTACGATAGTAGAACTAGTATTCACGGTTTTTAGGCATATTTTTTACACTAATTGGTTGAAGCTTTTAATTTTTTCTGATTATGGATTCAATCTTGAACTATACATCTTGAAAGTAAATAATTATCATTGCTGATATCGTCGTAAATCGGTTTAAAAGCTTTTAAAACATCAAGAGACGAGGGAGAATAATCTTGAGTATAAGTATCGAGCTCTACACTAGCGTCAACGCGCTGGTAAGAGTCCAATAACTCAAAAAGTAATCATCGGATCAACTTGGAATTTTCAAAGAACATTTTCAAGATATTACACTTAATAAAAATGCAAAAAAATAAAAATCGATTTTTCAAAAATTCCAAGTACCCCTAAAACACTTGAGAATGTTTACATTAACATGCCAAATGAATCTATCTGAGGATATTAGAATAACGCATATGAAATATGTATATACATTTTTAAAATAAATTGTGAATTTAAAACTTATATTTGAAGTATAAAACTTCGTACATTTTTGAAAATTTTAAAAAATAAATTTTGTGAAAATTTTGATATTTGTTTGAACCGTACAAGTGAAATTTAAAAATTAAAAATACTGGTACAGTACCCAAAAAAATTAGTACGCATTTTTAAAATACTTATAAAATATTTGATAATTTGATTAACATATGTCTAATGATCATTTTAGACCGCCAAATATTTTTTTTCTTTTTCCTTTATACCTCCGAAACCGCTAGACCTGTCTTTAAATCATTCGAATTACAGTTTTTGGCACTTTTTGTCCCATATCTTCAAAACGGCTAGACCTGTCTTCGCCAAAAACTGATCAGCACATCTTCTCATAAATACGAATTGAATCTGCTTTGAATTATTCAAATCGGTTGATCCGTGTTCCCGAAATCGTCGACAAAAAATTGTATCGGCACTCACACACACAGACACACACATACATCCATTTTATCTAAGGTATGCCAAAATATTCAGAAACCTCTAAAACGTAAAGATATTAAAAAAATTCATTTTCGATTTTTTTACGATTATTATAACTTACACACAATCGATGGAAATCGATGGGGACCGTCGTTTGTCAGTTTTGCACGACGATCAGCCAAGCCGTTTCTTTGTAAATTTTAGCTCGCAATTCTGAATAAATTTTAAAAATTTAAAAACTGAAAGATATTGGTTGGAAAAGATACTGATTAGTTTTTAATTAATTATTTAAATTAAATAATTTGACACTTAATACAAATTTAATATGCAAATATAATAATTGATATTATCATTTGTTCAAATTATGTATATTTTTTATCACATAACGTTATATATTAGAATATTTTGTTCCTTTTAAATTGTCCAAATTGTCCATTTGATTTTTGAACTCTAATTTCTTTTTTGATTTATTACTAATGTAATATTTCGCTTATAAGTTGGGATTTATAATCTCTTTGGAACCTTGTCATATCTCACTAAACACGGTAAACAAATTAAATGTAAATCAGAAATCCATTTATCTCATAGATTTCAGAAACATTGACATAATTTGCTTTGTTCACTATTTTCTCTAAATTATAAAAATGTTCAATATTTCTGAAAACATATTACTGTCTGTTACACAATTTGAAATAGTTTCAATTAGATGCCTATTCGTAATCGGAATTATATGTTTTAGATGAAAATTTGTTGATAACAAGTTGTAATCTTATCATAATTGCTTATGAAATGTATTATTTTGATTACTATTTATAATATCAATAAAAGAATGCGAAAAACCTTGTGATACAATTACATTACATTGTACAATTTTATAAGAATACAATTAATACTAAACTTTCATCACCGTCCGTTTCCGAACTTTTTGTAAGACTTAGACATTTTGAAACGTTAAAATACCATTATCAAATTATATGACAATTCCTAGAAGATACTAATAATATTTTTGTCACACTTTGCTTCCAGTAATTTTTTATGTTTGCCGAAAACTGTAGCCTAATATATATGTAGCCTAACTGCAGCGGTCGGTCAATTTGGCCGGTGGAAAATAATGTTATGAAGTTGTTTCAACCAGCCAAATTTAGAATAAAGTTGTGGTTGGCCTGTGAAGTCAATAGTAGATATATAATAAATGGATTTCCCTACTTGGAAAGTTAGTTGTTCTAAAACCGATCAACCTTTGGAGCATATTGTATAAATCAAATTTTAGTATTTTTACTAGTGTTTGTCGGTTTTCAAAAACTGGTTTTAAAAACCGGTTTTTTGGCGAAAATTATGGAACTCGAAAACCGTTTTTTAGTGAAAAAAGTCGGTTTTCACTGTATAAATGGAAAATGACAAATATAGCCAAATATAAAAGATAGATGAAAGCGTTTTGATTCTTAAAATCATATCGTTTCAATAGCTTTTGATATCTTATCAGTTTGCAATGGTCCACAGAAAGGTTTTGTATATATTAATTTAGATTTTTTATACTAAAGTATATTTTAATGTAAATCAGTGTGACTTCTTCTTGAAGAAGTAACTTCATCTACTCAAACTTGAAAAAGGGTTTTAAACCCTACAAGAAGCTTAGAATTATTATATCAGGCTTTAAAAACAATTAAGCATAATTTGGTCGCAAGTATGAGAGTATTTTTTATTTCAGTTTCCGAGCAATTCGATATACGTTCTCAGTTTTTTGAAATCATATTTTATTAAACAAAAAAAAAATATTTAGAATGTTTAAAATTAATTAATTAAAATTGCTCGGAACAGGCAATACCCAAGTTTTATTTAAAAATGTATTATTTTTATTTATTCGAAAACTTTCCTTTCACTATCATAAAAATATTTTCATTCTTATATGTGAAAATGATGCAAGAATAACAAATAATTATTTTCAAAGTTATTTAATCAAGATAAACTATTATTTTTTAGTTCTACCAATTAAAATTAAAATAATTTTGTTTACTATCCATAAAATTGAGCAATAAATAAATTCAGTCAAATACTGCTCTAAATCACACGGATAAATTACAGAATATTCTAGCAAAAATTTATTTTCTATATAAAATTTGAGAACCGGCTAAAACCGGTTTTTTAGCAAAATTAAAATTCGAAAACCGGTTTTTTGAAATATCGGTTTTTGTATAAACTCTAATTTTTACAGTCTCTAAAAGTAATCCGAAAAATGTGCTTATCCTAAGTTTCAAACATAATGACGCAATACAAATAGGAGAAAGTAGCAACGTATACCGAAATATATTGCAAATATAATTGGTACAAAATTTGATGTAGATATGAAGTCGAAAAGTTGCAGATGGCTACCAAGTGTTTTTCAACATTTTGGACCTAGTTGAAAGAGAAAATTGGACAAACGACAAGTAAAACCATTTACTGTAACGAATTTCTATTCCATTTACCTTCTGAACTTAGCGATATATATTTACAAAACCACAATGGAACCAAGTTTTCAACAACATCCATAACTTCAGATTTGGGCGTACGATAAACTTGTTAAAGAAATTTTGTTAAAAGTAAAAAATAGGACAACAATTTTCTGTAAAATAAACATTTCAGAGCAAAACCATTGGTGCAAATGATCTCATATTTCTAAGAGTTATATAAACTGAAATGCAAAGTTAAAATTATTTATTATAAGTATATAAGTGAGAATTTTAGCTATAATTAAAATTAAAGAGCAGACAGTTTTTATTATTTAAAAAAAATTGAAAACCAAAAAAAATTTTTTTTTTAATATTTAAAAAAAAGCCTTTCCCAGAATCTAATGGAATGCTTTGTTCTGTAAAATCTGCCATTTTCACACTCGTAGCTCCTTATGTCAGAACCGACTGGACCAATCGAAAACTAGTTCAGCACTTCTCAATATCATTAGGAATCGACTGCTTTTTTAACGAATCAAATCGGTTGATCCGTACAACCGAAATCGTCGTCGAAAAAATGTATTCATACATACACACACACATCCATTTTTTCTAAGGTATGCCAAAATGTTCAGAAACCTCTAAAATGTGAAGATAGGCAGATTGACGAAAACAAACTTCTTCGGGAAGTTAATAACCACAATATAATAATCACAATTTTACAAAAGCTCTAGGTTGCATTGTAAAAAAACATTGTAAAGAAACGATTAGTTTTTAGCAAAGACAAAAAACTAGTGGCGCATGGCATCGTGCCTTAAGGCAAATTGCTAGAACTTCCCGTATCAGAATTAAATATTTGAGGGGAAAAAATCAGTAATAAATGAAAATTGGTCAATGATTAATAACAATCGTTTTAAACATTTTCAAATAGATAATTATAATCACTATATATTCTTTCGTTCATAAAATATACAGTGACTACCTTATCTCTCAAAACACTTGCGAAAGTTTAGATTGGCAATGGGTGCCGAATAAATCTATCTGAAGATATATTTCTTACGATTAACGGTTTGTAAATTTAAAGTTTCTATTTGAAGTATAAAACTTTGTATATTTTTGAAAATTTTGAAAAGAAGTTTTTTATGAAAATTTGTAAATTTGCTTGAACGGTATAAGTTAACTTTAAAAATTAACAACCTTGGGTACGGAACCCAACAAAATTAGTACTCATTTAAAAAAAATCAAATATCTGATAATTGAATATGCATATGTCTAATGATCATTTTTGACCGCCAAATTATAATTAATATATTTCAGATAATAATTAAAAGATTTCCAACAGTATATCACATATTATGTGATGGATAATGATATAATATATTATTATAATATTTTTGATATTTCAGAGTTGGAAGTATTGGCAAAAGAAGAATTAAAAAAAAAAATAAGAGCAAGTTTGAATGGTCGAGTTCTGAAAGTAGCGACACTACAAGTAAGTATAATTAATAGATATGTTTATATATAAAAATTATCCAATTTCTACATTAAAATTATCCAAATGTACTAGAAATGATACCAATAATTTATATGGAAAAATGACAAATAAACAACCAATAGTTAATTAATTACATTACATAGCAATCGTTTTGTTCATAAATATAATACAATATAAAGATAATATTTTTTATAAATATTGTACATAATTTAATCTATATACTTTTAAATATAATTTTATAAAACGTATGTCTAGATTGACGTAAAAATATAATATAATTTTATTTCTGGTAATTTTGTATTTTGTCTTAATTGAATCTAATTTGTTTGTGTTGTACACTGGGAGGCTTACTCAGGGACTTTGTCCAAACCAAAATGCATAGATCCCTTGCTATTATAATGAACAATATAATAAGAAATAGTAAATTATTAAAAATGACAAAAAAAAAATTAATACTGTTAGCTCAACCAACAATGTGTAATTTTAATTAATTCTGACTAAAATCTCCCGAACAAATTTGAAATTTTCAATATCGGTTCAGAATTTTTTGAAAAAAAAAACGCGAACGAAATGTTTTGAACTTTTCGAGTATCATCGAATCGAATGGTTTTTAATTTTTGTGAAATCAGTCATTATTGAGAAAAAGTAGATTCGGTCATTTTTTTTCTTTCTGTATGGTGCACAATTGTATCTATGTTTTTGTTTTTAACAGAAAACATGTTGATGGAACCTAAATAGCTCCAAAACGTCGAAAGTCCAATCCCCGCCAACCAATTAACATAAACAAATAAAATAATATAAATGTTTATAAAATTTTATTTTGTTTCAGAATTATCCTTTAAATTGGGCTGTGAAAGAAAACGACACGTGGGTGGGGAAAGGCGTAGCTTTTATATTTTTAGATTTTTTAGCAGAAAAATTTAATTTTACGTACGAGGTATCACTACCTGAAGAGAACAGAGTCGGCATCGGGAACGATAAAAGTATTGTGCAAATGCTTATAGATAACGTAAGTTACTATTTTATTTAAATAAAAAATAAATCAATGTTTAAACTTTATGATAATAATTCCTGGTAACTTATCCTGTATAAGCAACATATATCCATACTTATGATATGAGCTGGCTGAACCGATATAGATTGTTAAAATAATATTGGTTGTGTATTTTCAATGATCTTAAAATAAAATTAGGTAAATTTTATATATTTTTTTCATGCGTTATAATATATATTCGTACATACTGTATCTCAGTCAGCCATGCTCAAGATTGTTTATCAGAAAGGATGTATCACATTAAAAAAAATTTTTTTTATTGTTTTAACTTGAATTTTTTCAGAAAACGGAGTTAGCAGCAGCCTTCCTGCCAGTTCTTTCACAAAATTCCGGAAAAATTAGATATTCAACAGCACTAGATGAAGGAGAATGGATGATGTTGATGAGAAGACCTCAAGCTTCTGCTACTGGGTCTGGACTTTTAGCCCCTTTTGACAGGGTAAGATATGAGAAAAATGTAATTGATTTTAGGAAAAGACCAGAACCAGAAATAAGTAGTTTTGCAAATTGTATGATATCGTTGAATATAAAATAAAAGTTTTTCCAGACCAAAGTGGTCTATATTGTTATCGAAATATTTAATATAATTTCCTAACAATATCATTGCCAAGGGGTTTACGACAAACTTGTTTGGAGTCTATTCAAAAGCGTCGCAAAAAATTCAAGGGATTAATGACACAAAAAGGTTTGGACACCAACGCTGAAAATTTTATTACTACTATTATAGATAGATATCAGTTCCGTTATTCACAAGAGTAACTTTCATAAAATGCTCCCCTTTACTTTTCTTCATTTATTTAGTGATTAATGCAGTTTATAAACTGGTGTCTGCAATCATTATCATCATAATTTCAATGGCAAACTAGAGGTGTATGTCATCGTGCCTTGAGGCAAATTGCTGGGACTTCCCGTACTAAATTAAAATTTTGAAAATCCAAATTATTTTCGATATCCAACAATTTTTGGAAATTAAAAAAAATGAAAAAAAAAAAATTCTCAAAAACGATTGTTTTGTCAACAAGCAGAAAACGTGGACGAAAAATTACGGACACAAGAAACAAACACACACACACACACACACATATTCATTTTTCTGATGTATGCCAAACTTCTGAAACGTGAAAATATGCAAAAATTTTCATTTTCGTTTTCAGCCCACTACTATAAGTTATCCTACGTGAAGGTAAATATAATATAATAATTTGTTTATTGCGCGTGTAACCTATCCTAATCAGAATTTTTAATTACGTTAATTAACAGCAAATATTTCCGTAAAAAAAGTTTAATAATTTTTTATTTTCTTCTTTCAGGATGTCTGGCTTCTCATCCTAGTTTCCCTGATAGCAGTAGGCCCGATTTTTTATGGCCTGATATTAATCCGGCATCGTATCAGTTCGGATCATCAAACAAAACCTTATCCCCTTCCCCACTGTGTATGGTTCGTTTACGGGGCATTGATGAAGCAAGGATCTACGTTGTCTCCTGCAGCAGGTATGTAAATAAATACTGTTCGATTTTGTACAGAAATATACTAATATGTTAGTAATATAAAATTGATCAGAATTCTTTTCTTAGTATTGTGTTAAAATCAATTGATTTAAATGCGCGTACTATACCATCTCATCTAAACTTAGTCTCGTCGTGCGTTGATCCAAAATCGTATAATTTTCCAGAAAGGCTACATGAGGATTTTTTTCTAATGCTGATGCAATTAAATATTAATTGAAAATAATATGACCAAGTTTACAATTATATAATGTTTATTAGGAGTCATCCAGATACATGTGAATAATCGACTTAATCAGTAAGAATTTGTTAGATTTAGCAAATAACTGTTTACTTTAAAAATATGTAAATGTTTTCGCTTTCATTAAAAACTAAACAATGCGATTTCTTATTGATATCTTTCAAACATACATTGAATACCTGTAATTGCATTAATTATAGTGCATAAACACACGTATGCCCTTGAAGAGCGGCCCATTATTTCAAACTGAACCTGCCTTTTTATAATTTAACCACTTTTCGTAGGACTATAATATTTTTGTATGTTCGTTTTGATATTTAGACCACAAGCTCATGGCCATATAAGCATCATTAAAAACGTCGAAAAAATAAGTTTTCAATATGAAGAAACGGCCCGGCTGAACTTTTCCAAAAACTAAGCAGTATGATTTCTAAATGATATCTTTCAATAGGTTTTCAACTTTTCAAAATCGGTTCAAATTTTTGGCAAAAACTTGTACAATTTTTGTTTTTTAATTTCAATATTAACTAGTGGGGCGCATGGCATCGTGCCTTAAGGCAAATTGCTGGAACTTCCTGTACCAAAATATAGTTTTTTAAAAAGATTAACATTTTTGAAAAAAAATTACTTTGAAAAAATTAGATTTTTGAGAAACTATAATTTTTTGACAAAAACTTCCGTTTTTTGAAAAAAAAGACTTTTTGAAAAAAAATGTTTTCTTTATTTTGAAATATTTTGGAAATTCTGAACTTTTTTTCAAAGCAATCGTACTGCCTTAACTGCATAGAGACGAAATATCGAAGCGCGTAAGCGCCGCACTGCCGTCTAACGGATAAACATTGGTACGAAACCCATAGGAATGAAAACAAACTTTATACTTATTGTTGAAATCTCTTTAAAATATATGATAATTTGATGTGCATATGTCTAAAGATCATTTTTGACCGCCAAATGGAATCTTTTTTACTAATTCTCCGAAACCGCTAGAGCTGCCTTCATGAAAATTTGATCAATTCTTCATCTTGTCAAAAAAAGTAAAATATTTTTTGAACTATTAAAATCGGACGCTCCGTTCTCCTAAAAACTGAGTTACCGTTTGTGGCACTTTTTGCCCCGTATCTTCGAAACGGCTAGACCTGCTTATGCCAAAAATTAATCAGCACGTCTTCTTATCAACAGCAATAAAATGTTTTTTGGATGATCGAAATCGGTTGAACCGTGTTCCGTGTTCCCGAAATCGTCGACGAAAATTTGTATCCGCACACACACACACGTACAAACACACACACAAACACACAAACACATACATCCATTTTTTCTAAAGTATGCCAAAATGTTCAGAAATTTCTGAAACGTAAAGATATTTATAAAAATTTTCATTTTCAAATTTTTTTGCGATTACTATAACTTACCCTACGTGAAGTTTAAAAAAATATTATACATAAGATTTCATTATCTTTGTGGAAATGTATTGATTTATAAAATATTTTAATTGATATGAAATATATCAGAAACAAAATATCTATTTGACATGTCATAAAGTATTGTTATCCTCGGATGCCAAGGCTGACTTACTAACAAAAGGCATTAACATACAATAACACAAAAAAGTCATAAAACTAATGAAAAGTGTAAAAACTAATCACTTACTAAATTTATAAAAAGAAAGACATCATTTTATATGAAAACAAGATTTAATATTATTCTGTTTTTTTTATTACAAAAATAATATTATTCTTCTTAGAATAAACATATTGTGACTTCTATAATTAATAATCAATCTTTCCTGAATTTAAAATTGTATTTCCAATTTTTTCAACATCTATGTAATTAACTTCTCGTAGAGTTAAGTTATAGTAATGAGCCAAAATTTTTTTGCATATCTTCACATTTCAGAGGTTTCTGAACATTTTGGCATACCTTAGAAAGAAATGGATATGTGCATGGGTGTATGTATGTATGGATACAATGTTTTCGAAAGCACCGGTCAAACGATTTGAATTATTTAAAAACCATTCGATTCCTATTGATAAGAAGACGTGCTGTTTAGTTTTTGGCAAACGTTGGTTCAACCATTTCGGAGATACGGAGCAAAGATTGCAGAAAATAGAAATCGAGTTTTTGAGAGTACGAAGCATCCAATTTGAATGATGGTATAATTTTAATTCTAGCTTCCACTTATATAATTGAGCTAAATAATTTGAAATTTGCAATTCAGTTTATATAAATTTTAGAAATATGAGATAAGGTCTTTCATTATAACTCTGCTTGATTAATTTTTCACTTCTTCAATCCACTTTCATATAAACTCATATAAACGTCACCATCCAATTTATAAGCTCTTCTATTTTGTCTATAAAATACGAGCAATTAAAGTTACAGTATTTTTAATAATACATATTTGTATTTGAAAACATTTAATATTCTTCGAAAATTTCATTACGGAACGGGAAGTTCCATCAATTTTCCATAACGCACGAGCCATACACCACTATTTTAACAAATTTTGAATGAAAAATTAAAGTTGAATTTTTCGTGGTGGTTGCACCTTTATTATAAGCAAAGTTGATAATTGGTAATTTTACCTATTCTACCGCCGATATAATTATAGTGTTTTACCATCAAACCAAAAACCACTAGTTACAAATTTTATTTATGAGTAATAAACATATATTTTTTATTTTATACACGTTTGGCGGATGGTAATGGGCGCTAAGTGCTACGAGGGAAAAAAATTGTCATAAAATATTCATAAAATTGATCGCCAAGCCGATGTGACTGATTGCTTCGTATAAACCGCTGCTAGGGACTGAAATAGTATGTGATTATTACCAAATTATATAGATATGTTTGAATATGTAATTACTTTAAAAGCTTATTCGATTGCTCATGACTTTTGACTGGGAAAACTGTAATTTCGTAGGTCTAGACAGAAAAGGATATGTAGATTTTTGTTCCATTGTAGTAAATAACACTATGCAAAAATTATTTTGCATAGACATTAATCGATAAACATTAAATCAACTAGTGTTGTTCGTAGCATCATGCGTTAAGGCAAATCACGTGCCTTGATGAGTTGTAATGATCATTTTTGACCACCAAATGTCATATTTTTAACTTTTCCCCCTGCAATCTCAAAACCGTTGGAGCTGCCTCCGGGAAAATTTAATAAAATCTTAATTTCGTCATTACAAGTAAAATACTTTTTGAATCATTCAATTCGGATGCTTCGTCTGTCAAAAATGTTATTTTTTGCTCTTTTAGCTACGTATCTACAAAACGGCTAAACCTGTCTTTGCCAAAAACTAATCACCACGTCTATCTACCCATCATTGCGAGTTGAATGTTTTTTGAATAACTCAAATCGGTTGATCCGTGTGCCCAAAATCGTGAACGGAAAATTATATTTACACAAAACACACTATCACACAGACACATACACATCTATTTTTTCTAAGGTATGCCAAAATGTTAAGAAAACTGTGAAGATATGAAAAAATATCGATTTGTAATGATTCGACATAACTAAATATGTCTAATTTATAAATAGTAACCCAAACGGTTTTTTAGCTCTATTAACTTCCCATGGGGTAAGTTATTGTATCGTCCAAAAATCGGAATTTTGGCATACCATATAAAAAATTGATGTATGTATTTGTGGATACAAATTTTTCGTTCACGTTTTCGGGAGCACGAATCAACCGATTTGAAATATTCAAAAAGCAATCGATTCCTACTGATAGGGAGACACGTTGATTAGTTTTTATCAAAAGTCGGTGCAGCCGTTTCAGAGATATGAAACAAAGAGTCGTAGAAAATGGAAAGTGAGTTTTTGAGAGAAGAAAACCACCGCTTCGAATGATTCAAAAAACATTTTGCTTGTGAAGAAACGATTAGTTTAGGAAAGCAATTTTTTCAAAATTTAATTCATTAAATATCAAAAATGATTCGAATTATTATTTTAATTCTAGCTAAAATTGTAAAACTCTCTTATATACTTAAAATAAATAGCGATAGTTAATACAAATCTTAGAAATATGAGATAAGTTCCTTCATTCAAACTCCAGTTTTGTTTATTTACTTTTTATGTAAACATATATAAACTTCGTCGTCCAATTTATTCATATATCTGAAATAAGCTCATATATTTTGTCTATAAAATACGAATAATGAAAGTTACAGTATTTATGATAATCTATTTGAAATCATTTCATTACGGTACGGGATGTTCCTGCTAATTTCCTTAAGACACGATGCCATGCACCACCAGTTTCATGAAATATTATTGCAAAATTCTGTTTGCAAAAACTCAAAGTAGCCATGTCTATTTTCTCTTGAAAACATTGCTATCTATGATTCCAAGTGAAAAGGAATATTATTGCTGCTCGACATCAGGCTGCTCAAAGCGAGTTCCATAGTAAATTTCCATAGTTCTAACCACTAATGCTCCGGCGAGTCCAAAAATATAATAAATTTAATTCTTTGTGTTCAAGGGATCAATACATAGTTGACATGTGTCACCTTCGTATTTCTGTGTTGACATAAACATATCAATACATATCTTTTGTATACGTACAACACACGAGGAAAAAATAATGATAGGAAAGCACGCAATATTGAATAGAAAATGCATTCATAACTGTAATGGCTTCGAAAATTTATAAATTATGTATTTTTAGTGCACCTGATAGATTTATCGGAATTTGGACAATAAATATGAATTTTCGACAAAAACAATTTGGCA